TACATACAGACATACGGACATCATCGTAGAAATGTTCGGGGAAGCTTCCTCGACCCTCAGAACGTCGAGATCTGTTGAGAACTCGATTTTTGCAAAATGGGGTGAAACCAATATCTTCCCGATTTTTAGAAAATTTTCCATTTTCTTAGCGGGAAGTTAAAAATGTTTTTCAATCCGTTTTCCGTACGTATAGCTCCGAACGAAAAACGCTTCAGTGGAACCGTAAACTGAATCGGCTTGAACTGTAATGTAAGATCAGTTGAAATATTCGAAATTAGTGGGATAAGGACTTATCTCCATTAACTTTTCCTTTGATGATCCTTGCTTGAATCACATTGTTCATTAGTTTCGTGTCGAACAATCGCATTGCGTTGTATAATTTTACAAAATTCGAGTATTGAACTTCCAGGCATCGTTCATTTGTAAAATGACAGAGAATACTTTAGTGATGAGTTTCTTCTTCGACGATGAACAATATCAATCCATTTGAAATAACAAGTAAAGGAATGATAACGGAAACGTTTATCGAAAATCTCCAAAATCACCGCATAAATCCGTCATCGTTACATCAGTTTCCGTCAAAGCTTGTTTATGTGCCATCATGTGTTCATCCAAATCCAAATATATGTATATATACGAGTATAATATGAGACGACAGTTTCGACATCGAATGGTATATGGTAATTTCTGACAATACTTTCTGTGTGAAATAGGAAACCTGGAGGAAAAGTCAAATTTGTGATAAAATATTTTTCACACATTTGAAATAAAATGCAATTTTATGTGATTTGCATTCTTCTGCATAAGGAGATTTTTCTATTCCTCCTTGACTAGATTATTATAGCGTCAAACGTTTTATATACCACATTTAAAATAATTTAAACAAGTAAGGAAGTTCTAAGTTCAGGTGTAAACGAACATTTTATACTCTCGCAACTTGCAAGGATCAAAGCCCGGGAAATCACTTCCGGTGATGGCAAAATTTTATATAGAAAGAAGTATTGGTCGGGTTCAACCCATTTTTGACACGAAGACAACATATTATTATCGAGAGTTTCAGTTATTTATTTTATTATATGAATTTCAATTACATATCTTACACATTGACCGATATTTTCGGTAAAAAGTCAACTATCGGCACTGGGGTCCACATATTCAGTACCTAGGGGCTTGAACAGATTTGGTTCAATTTAGATAATTTTTGGTCACAAGGTGACATACCTTAAACGTATTATTCACGCAAAGTTTTACGCCGATATAATCATTGTTGCTTGATTTGCATAGTGGAAAGTGAAAGAATCAGATATAATTAAAAATGGTGTTATATGGTAAATAGGCGTAGTTGTAATTCGATTTCGATTTTAGTTGTTTCGTACCGAATTTGGTTGAAATCGGTTAAGGAGATCCCAAGATGTGGGTTTTCACCTAAAAGTGGGGGTTTTCACCAAGATGTGGGTTTTCACCTAAAAGTGGGCGGATTCACGCCCAGTGTCTAATTTTGAACACGGTTCCTATAAGGTCGTCTCATACCATTCCAGAGATAAAATTTAATGTCTTTGGCGTGTTTAGTGCTTGATATATCGCGCTTTTAGTAGTTTTTAACAGTACCGTTATATGGGGAGTGGGCGAAGTTGCCACTCGACTTCACGCATTTTCACAGTGTCTATAGAGGTTCTGAAAAAATTTGTCCTCAGTAAATTTTGTTATTATAGCTTAAGCGGTTTAGGAGATATGCATATTAAACCTATTAGGGGGCGGGACCACGCCCACTTAAAAAAAAATTTTAATCTGCAGATGCCCTTCTCTAATGCGATCCTTTATACTAAATATGGCAGCGATCCGATTACGCCCATCTGCAATACCAACCGTCTTACTGTACCAGGAAATATTTGTACCAAGTTTCATAAAATTATCTCAATTTTTACTCAAGTTACAGTTGGCATAGACGGACACACGGATTTCAACTTGTCTCTTCATTCTGATCATTTATATATATATATCCTTATATCTAACTCGATTAGTTCTAGGTGATATAAACAACCGTTAGGTGAACAAAACTATTATACTCTGTTGCAACATGTTGAGAGAGTATAAAAATATACAAAATAACTCAAGTGAGAATTCTTCTTTCTTCGCATTTTTCTGTATCTTGTGTCTTTATTATCTCTAACAAATCTAATCGCCACTTTGTACTTCCTGCCAGCAACGAGTCCCACTAGACGCAGATATTTATTTATAGTTATCACTTTCGTTTGTAAGACTGCACTTTATTCGCCGTAGCGTTGTGAAAAATGTATACAGACCTTGTTGACTCGCGAGATATCTTACATACACATGCATACATACGAGTACATACCTGAGCTCATTGCATGCTTTCTGTTTAAATATTTTCACAGGTGAAATGTTTTTAAATGAAAAGATGCTTGTTAGAAAACATGAACAAACTGCATCGTTAATGATCACTCTAATTGTTTTCGGTCTGCACTCCAGCAGTCTGATTAATATTAGCAGTTTATTTTTGAGTAGAAGAAACGGTATCTTTGTTTAAAATAGCGAACTGGCTCAAATCAACAACAACAAAACATTGATCTCTTAAAAGCCTAAAAATTAAGAGATCGGGCTACAAAAACAACTTCGACCCATATAACAACAGATTAATTCAAGAATCGAAAAGCTTAAAAGTTATTGTTCTAAAACATAGCCATTATAGTACACTTGATAAGTAGTAGTTAGTGGCTTTTGCGTTATATACTTATGTATATTTATGTCCAACCAGAGAACAATAGAAGTACACTATTTTCTTAAAAATCAAATAAAAAGTTAAAACAAATAATATTGACGCGAAATAGTTCACGACTTTATTTTAAAGTAAACAAGTATGGGTGATAAAATTTTAGATGTTGGCAAAACTTTATATAAAAGAAGAAAAAATTAAGCTATTATACAATTCACAATAACAAAAGATCCCTTACATGGACTTTGATCGGTCAACTTGTATGGCAGCTCTATGCTATAGCAATTTCTTCAGAGATAGCAACATTGCCTTAAGCAAAAACCAATGGCAGCTATATGCTTTAGTGTCCGATCTGAACTATTTCTTCAGATATTGCAGTATTGTGTGTATATAGTGATCCGGTTCTGACAAATGAGTAGCTTCTTGGAGAGAAAAGGACGTGTGCGAAATTTCAGAAGGATATCTCAAAATCTGAGGGACTAGTTCGGGTATATACAGACAGACGACATATGCGCATAAGGTTTGTTAGCATAAAATAATATATTATATAATCGTTCTATGTAGCATATGGGAGTTGGGGTAATCGTAGACGAATTTCACATATTTTAAGCATTAAATTTAGCACAGATATCTGACATATTGATCGATATATACGGTATAAAGTCAACCAAAAGTTCTTAAATCTTTCATTAGGTACCATATATAATATTATGCACCAAATTGGTTGAAATTGGTCATAGCTGTTATATGGGGAGTGGTTGGGTTAATCTGAACCGTTAGGTGAACAAAACTATTATACTATGTAGCAACATGTTGCATGAGTATAAAAAGATGGAAACATTCGCTCTACATTTCAGAAAGAGTTTCATTGTGGCTGTAGTAGCTCAACGGCAAAACTGCGGCGTACTCTTTTTGAATCTATTTGATTCATTACTAATGTTCGCTAGATCGGTACGATCTGTGAAATATGGGCGAAAACTTATTCGCAAAGTGCTGGGTAGAATACTGAGTAGCCCCGTTCCAAGCGGCTTTATGCAATATATTTCTAACCATAATAAGAATTTAAACATTTAGTGACTAAATATTTTTTTAAACTTTCAAATTTGCACACATTATTTTGTGATCGATATCTTGTGACCAAGCAGAAACGTTAGCACCATAACTTGAAAATTTCAACTCGAACAGGGCCTATCACCGTCTACATATACAGCTAAGTGTCAAGATATGAATATTAGATAACAGGTTATTGAGTGGATAATAAACACACACACGACATTGAATGCCACAACTCGGAAGTATAAAACTTCTTCGCTTTGAGTTCAATAAAGGTCTGACACACCTATGATACTTGAATAAATAATTATTTTCCAAAGAATTGCGCGCTACTACCCTCAATAGACCAAGTTCATGTAACAAAATTGGAAAATACAACTATCTCTGAGAATCTATATTAAATTTCTTTTACAATATTGTTCTTCTCGTTTCCTTCTGGCATTTATCCACTCAGCAACCACGTGCATCATAATCAATAAAAAGCGGCCTCGATTTACTAACTACACTATCGCCTTAACAGACATCAACCACAACAACCAAACAGCTGTTGACTTTCGGTAAGCAGACAACAGCTGCAATTAATTTTTTGGGCTTTCTGTTTTGCTTGCAATATTCGCAACAGTGAAATAGTACATAAACAAGCGAGACTATGAAAAAATGTATGAAAAACTAAAAAATTGTGAAACTATGAAAACACAGACTAATAAACAATTGACAACTTTTAAAGCAATATTATCGAAGAGGTTTGAATACGTCGTGTTTTACGGTTAGGCTGCAGATTCTTGCAGTTCATTATTAAAGGGGAAGCCTTGCGATTTAAGCCATAAAAAATATATTTATTTCTAATTGTGTTTACTAAAGTAATCATATATATTTTCACACTTCAACTAAACATTTTCTAAACTAACAGACTGATTAATAATTATGAACATAAAATGAGCTGAGCTCGATCAAACATATATCTACAAACTTTATACCAGTTTTTGCAAGACCTGCAAACAAGTTGCAAGTGGCAACACCACACCATTTTCGGCTGCAACACTAAGCCCATACCAGAGAACTCACAAATTATGTTCTCTGTCGATACTTGGTGTGCGTAAACAAGTTAAGCGCGCTCGTTCGGTTGGCATCATGCTGCGAAGAGGTTTGATCGCGGTGTTCGATTCGAACCGATAGTTCGCATCGGCTCGGGTTGGCGCTGGCATGTTAGTCAGTGTCGGCAATGTTGCCAACGAATATCGTGTAATTCGATCGGTCGGATAGTATATGGTCGCGTATTGGAAATTTCAACCAGATATAACTTCGTTATTATTGTGTCGAAAGTATAGCGACGAACGAATTCTAATTGTAAGATAAGAAGGTTTTGTGGACAAAAAAAAAAACATTTAACGACTTCTTTGTAAAGTGCGAATATATGCAAACGATAGTTGGGATTGTATAGCAGTAATAAGCTAGTATGTGATAATACCAAATACAAGCGTGAGCAGCGGAATTAAAAGACGAATTCATTGTTGTAGTGAAATAAAATACTTAATTTTGTTGTTTGTGTTGAAGTTTTTGAAAAGCAATAAAGTCAAAGTTAAGTGAAACTACATGCTGTACTGAGCAATTTGAGACGTGTATTTGGAAAAGTGAACAGTGAACAAAAAAAAATTTGGAAATTAAACAAATGCAAAGTAGTAAATAAATAAATGAGCAAAGAGTGTGAGCTACATATTTGTGACTGGTGACGAAATTGCGAGGTGTACAAACGGGAAAAGTGCGTTCCGCTTATGGAAAAACTAAGTTTGTTTGTTGTTTGCATTTTACTTTTGTAATACAGAGAATAATAAAATATTATTTCGTTTATGCTTTTCCAAATAAATTGTTTCTGCAGGAAAAAAGGCAACGAAAGCGACAAAATAAAAACAAAGAAAACGTTGCTATAGCAAAATTGTGGAAAACTCATACTTCGAGCCGAGCGGAGCGTACGAACGTTTGTTTGTTTTGCTTTTGGAATGACGCGCGAAAAGTGAACTGCGCGTGACGAGCGACAACCAAACCAATTCGATAACGGTGAGCGGTGCGGGAGAAACTTTAGACGTGTGTGTTTATGAGTGGTGTGAACACAGGAAAAAATAAGTAAATAAAAATAAACTAGAACGTAAACGTGCCATACCGCAACAATCTCGCGCTGTCATTCACAAAAAGTGAGGAATATTTAAATTCGTTCCATATTTCTTAAATGGGATGATTAAATGTTTTCTACCTAATTAAGAGTGACATTTATGCAACATATGTCCGTTGAAAAATAGAAAGAATGCTGATTTAAAAAAATAATAATAAAAAAATTGTAAGTCAAAAAGTGACCAAATTCGAAAAAACAGTGCTCTTAAAAATTGTTTGAAAAAAGTTAAATAAAAAATAAAAATTTAATTCAAAGCAGTTAAATATTTTGGTTATAATTAAAGGAAATATTCTGTAATGAATTTGTTGTTGCAAAAACAAAAAACCACAAATAAATAATAAAATTTAAGTTAATAAAATATATTGCGTTGCTGAAATTGAAGGCGAATATTTAGCTCAATGTATATACATATTTAACGAAAATAGTTAAAATTATACGTAAAGAAAAATACAGTGTCATAAAAAAATTTAGCATACATGTGCAAGCTTTGACGACAATTTTGTATTGATAATATATACCAAACGCGATTGCAGAAACCTGGAAGGTGAGCGCCATCTTAAGAGCATTTATTGATTAACGTAATTTACACCCCTGTCCGTCAGTCCCTTTTAGAACAGTTTTAACTGTATGAAATATCTGTACTTTACTTCGAAGAAAAAGTTTAACTTGTCCAGCAAATTTTTATCAAATGAACTATGTTACCAATAATACTATAAATAATTATTCAAAATATTTAGAGAGCTTCATTTGTTGAGCCTCACTTAATTTTAGTCCTAATAAAATTAACCATAAAACGTTATTGGTGTTCACTTTAAATATGTCTCTGAAACATCCAATCAGCTGTTTTCCTCAATTGAACAGCCCGACATACAGTAACCGGTTATTCCACATATGTGTGTATATATGTATGTACATATGTATTTGTTTAGCATTCATTATTCTATTTATCTATCTATTTATCTACCTACCTACACAGTGTGTGCTCGTCAATTTGCTCTGATAACCCAATTATGGGTGTGACATAATGACGACCACGAAACTGGAATGCCAACGACACAATTAGTCGAACGAAATTATTGGAGATTGCAAAGGTATTTGTTGTCCGAAGATCAGCGAACAAAGAAAAATAATTATTTGTTAAAATGTGCATATCATGTACATATGTACACATGTGATATCCACAAAATTCTTTTAATTTGCAGGGAAATGTTAACATATACACATGTTTAAATGTATGTATGTATATGCGTAAATCGGAAAAATTTAAAAGTGGTTTCAAAGCAACTTTATTACATCTGTACTATACATACGAGTACATATGTATGTATGCATGTGTATCTATGTATTGTACAATATTTATTATGGATATTGCTATTGTGAGTTGTGTGGCGATTACCGATTGCTGTTTTACTGTGTCGCCAACGTCGCGACGTGGGTCATCAATTGTCATTTCCTGTGCTGACTTGTATCGCCATTTTTGCATAAACATTTATTTACTTACAAATTGTCACTTATTCTGGCACTCTCCCCAGTAAGTCCGTTCAACGGTGCGCTCTCCCGCACTCTGCGTCTATTTCCTGTCTAGTTTTTTTATTGTAGTCTCCTATTTATAATTTTACTCTGTCTCGATATCTAGCTGGTCGGTTATTTGACTGCGCCGTTGCTTCTAGTAAAAAGTGTTCAAGTCTATTTGTTCGTATGTAAGTGCGTAGCTTTATTAGCCTCCGTTTGCGCTCGTGTGACGCATACTTTAGTACAAATTTCGAGTGCGGGAAACAGCCGCGTCTGTTTTACAGTTTTTTACATGAAAGTATAGCCAATCGGCAGTATGCATGTATGAATGCGTAGTTTATAAGCGAGAACACGAGGTGCGGGTGCTACCAGCAAACGCTCGGTCAGTCGCACTTAAGCAGCACTCGTACATGTGCCAGCTATTCACTAAATAACCGGTTATACCAACTCTGTCTGTCTATCAGTCAGTCATTTATTCCTGCACCCACCATTGCAATCGACGATCGATTCACGTCATAAATTTTCTTATAGTCAATGCCTTTTTGTTCTTTCTTTGCGCTGCTTTGTCTTGCCTGTCTTCTTCTGTTTTACTTAATTTCGGAAACATACATATATATGTAAATATAAGTTTTTATCCATAACTTAACTTTTATAAAGCCCGCACTTATATATTTCGAATGAAAATTTGAAGTTGGATCAAAAAACATGTTTTCATCTCTTTGGCAAGCAACTTTTGCGGTAAAAAATTAGTTTGGGATTCCAAAAATAGGAATGGAAATAAATAAAACAAATTGAAGTTAGACATTTTGTAACTCGAGAGCACCTGAATAAATTTTGACTTGCTGAATTTTTCTCCGTCTTGAATATTCAAATATACGTATTTATGACTTTCGTAGTTAAGTTCCTTTTAGGCAACAAACAAAACGTTTTTGTGGAGTGATCTGGGAGAACACCACTTTCATTTTCATTTAAACAAATTTAAATGATAAAATTTGATATTTTTATATTGAAAACATTGTTGTAGTTCAGTTAATTTAATCCGTAGTCATATAGGCTTATTGAAACTGAGGAAATCCGCAGTATTGAAATTGAAAATTTTATCTTTAATTTAAATATAAAGGAATGTCATATATTATAATTTGTCTCAAGCCATTAACTAGTACCGATATTTAACATCCATATCTTAGCCACATATTTTTTATCCAGTATTCTTCCTAATTAATTCTTAGTCGTTGACCAGTACACATACATACATAAAAACGTACAACAAAACTCAGTGAAAAACAAGACCGAACGCTAACTTTGTGTTGCACGGTAGCTATAATACCCTTTACAAATGCAAAAGATTCGTTATAAGAACTTGATTTTGATCGGTAAGTTTGTATGAAAGCTATATGCTATAGTGCCTCGATCTGAAAATTTTTTTCGGAGATTGCACTGTTGCCTTGGCATATAATTCAAATAACAAAGTTTCTCGTCAAATGAAAAATTTTCCATACAATTTATTGATTTGGATCGTTCAGTTTGTATAGCAGCTATATAATATAGTGATCCGATCTGAAAAAGTTCTTTGAAAATTGTACCATTCCCTTAGCCAATAACCCATGCTACTTTGATTCTGATTCGTTCAGCTAGTGGCAATTACATATTGTAGATACATATTATATATATGTATATGTTCTTGACGAAAAATGGACATGTGCAAAGTTTCAGATCGATATCTAAAAAGCTGAGGAACTAGTTCGCGTACATACAGACATGCTGATCATTTATATATGTATATATTTTATAGGGTCTCCCACGTTTTCTTCTGGGTGCTACAAATATCGTGGAAAACTTTATTTACCCAGGGTATAATTACGAAATTACAACAATCTTTGATATATTGCATCTGTATGAACAACGGAATGCTTTCTTAGATCACAAGCTACTCAGTTCAACAAAGGCTCTATTTATACGCACGCGTGCATACACAAGTACTCATATGCGTGTATTTATCTGCTTAGAGAACGGTGTACTATCATATCAAACAGATCAAATCAAGGTACGAGTGATCGATTGGGGCAATCACAGCTTCCTGCCACATTCCACTGCGGGAACACTAGAGCATTTTGCTACTCCAGTTGCACATCGGTACGCGTGTGTGTATCCATAAGTATGTAAGATGATTCAAGTGGATGTATACACACACACACACACCCTTTTATGAGCCCCAGCTTTGAATTTTAAAGTTTAGAATACGCCCCAGTTCTTGGCAGCATGTGTGTAACGGTATGGAATTTTAAATTATCTGCTTTTATGAAAATGAAAATAGCCATAAAACAAAAAGGCATACGTGTATTTGTTTGTAGGTTGGAAGATATACGAGTAAACAGTGCAAGCTGCACGCACACGGCGGATGTGCCACACGCAATGGGCTCGCACATGTGTGCATTCATAGACATATGAAGTAATACATTGCTTGCAAAAGCCCGAACGACGCACAAGCAAGACGAAAAGGAAGCGAGATAACTCCAAAATATTTAAATGTAAACAAAGTGTGGATGCGTGTTGCGTGTGTACCAATTGCACTATCACCACTTTTACGCCTATTCGTTCTATGAATTTTCTAATGATGCAAGACACCCGAGATACGAGCGGAGATAGTGCAGATAGCAATTGGTGGATGCATCGAGCGAATTGTGTTAGTCAACGACGGTATGCGGCGCTCAGGTTTAGGTGTTGGCGCTGAAAACTGCTGCCACCTGGCTTGATTGCGTGTCACGTATGAGGGCGTGGTAGTTAGGCAGCGGCGGAATTGTGATGCCCAAATGTTTTTAAAACAGCTGTCTTCGATCCGACATTTCTCTGCTCGATATCTTTGCAAGTTGCTCTCTTGTCAAAACAATTATCGACAACAAAGTTATTGAGTTATACATTTTTTTTTCTCACAAAGATTATGCAAATGACAAATAAAAATTAAACATTATTTTTGCTCTTTGAGTTTAAAATAATAGTAAACAAAACTAAGGTGTTACTAAAACCTTTTTTGACACGGAAAAAATAATTGCTTAACCGAAAAAAAAAAATCGTAACACCATTGCGCTTGCGTCAGGGCATCGCAAATGTTACTTGTTTATTATTTATCTATCTATTTATCTCGTATAGTTTGTTCGATTGTTCTCAAGCTTGATGAATCGAAGACAGCTAATGTTACACACACATTTGATTACAACTGCATCATAATCTGGGATGCGTCATCTAACAGTTCTACACCTATGATCCCTAATACATTGACTAATACATATTTCATACATACATACATGTGTGCGTGTATTGGCAAATGAGGCGGTTATTAAATATTATTACAAACTTGTTTCGTACTTTTAATTTCTTTGCACTTTATTGCCTGCAGTCGCCATCATTTGGCGGTGGTAATTACGAATCGTTAAAAAATATTATTAAGTATGAAAAAACCCCGAATACCAGAAAAAGCTGTAAACGCCCACAATAAACACGCTTTGACATGATATAAAATTGCTATAAAAATTTATATCCAAACCTGCAAATTTATTACCTTGGTGTGTGAAAAATAACATATTTTCGTCAACGAGTGCTGCCATTCGTTCATTTGTGTCGAAAACAGCGACAATAAACGAAAAGGACAATTAAGTAGCATAATAAAGTAATTAACAAGTGTAGATCGAACGCTGATTTACTCAAAGCAAATAAGAAAACACAAGTGTTTCTGCTTTTTCTGTTTTTTTCGAATCGATAATTGTTAATTTATTTTTAGAAATGCATTTAGTTTTGTTTCAAAAGTGGAAAGCATGGTTCTTCTCATGTCAGAATGGCTAACAGAACCGTCGAAAATTAATTGAAATTCATCTAAAGTAATTATGAATAGCGTATCTTTCTAATTTAAGTCTCTTTAAACATTTTTTTTCTACGCTTTTATATGCTCAATATGCTATTTAGCAGCGATCAAAGCCTTTATTTGAAAAAAAACTTTCTTGGTGAAACGAAGCAAAATAGTTGAAGTAGTAATTAAGT